TAAAGCAGGACTAAAGCAGGTCTAAAGCAGGTCTAAAGCAGGTCTAAAGTTGTGCTAATGCAGGACTAAAGCAGGTTTAAAGAGGGTCTAAAGCAGGTCTAAAGCAGGACTAAAGTTGTGCTAATGCAGGACTAAAGCAGGTTTAAAGAGGGTCTAAAGCAGGTCTAAAGCAGGACTAAAGCAGGACTAAAGCAGGTCTAAAGAAGGTCTAAAGCAGGTCTAAAGTTGTGCTAATGCAGGACTAAAGCAGGACTAAAGCAGGTCTAAAGCAGGTCTAAAGTTGTGCTAATGCAGGACTAAAGCAGGTTTAAAGAGGGTCTAAAGCAGGTCTAAAGCAGGACTAAAGCAGGACTAAAGCAGGTCTAAAGAAGGTCTAAAGCAGGTCCAAAGCAGGTCTAAAACAGGTCTAAACCAAGTCTAAACCAGGACTATATCAGCACAAGTACAGAGTCATTGCCTCAGTCCATTTCAAATCCCGCTGTTATCACTGAACCAAAACTTCTCGACTTTGACTTCCCCAGATCAGATTGAAACCATGGGACTCTGTGGGGGCAGCAGAGTGGATGGAGCTAAATATAGCTGCAGGTCTGTGAGGGATGTGCAGGAAACTCAAACACATCTCATTATTTCTCCGTCTGTCTCCGCAGCGCTGTCTGTCTGCGGCCCATAAAGGAGCAGTTAGCCACCTAGCGGGATGCTAATTCCCCATGTCCCGCACAAAGACCACAATTATATGGTACTCAGGGGCTTCTGCGGGGGCGGGGGGCATGGGGGGGTCCTGGGGGGGGGCTGTTAGTCACGCTTTATTATGATCCTATTAGCTGCCCCTCCCTCCACAGAAACACCAGTTAGGGACCTGTTTGGGACCTGCCAGAGACCTGTTTAGGACCAGCTAGAGACCTGTTTAGGACTAACCAGAGACTAGGGACCAGCCAGAGACCAGCCAGGACCCAGGGCCAGGGACCTGTTTGAGACTGAAGTAGGTCTAAAGCAGGTCTAAAACAGGTCTAAAGCAGGTCTAAAGCAGGACTAAAGCAGGTCTAAAGCAGGTCTAAAGCAGGACTAAAGCAGGACTAAAGCAGGTCTAAAGCAGGTCTAAAGCAGGTCTAAAGCAGGACTAAAGCAGGTCTAAAGCAGGTCTAAAGCAGGACTAAAGCAGGACTAAAGCAGGTCTAAAGCAGGACTAAAGCAGGTCTAAAGCAGGTCTAAAGCAGGTCTAAAGCAGGACTAAAGCAGGATTAAAGCAGGTCTAAAGCAGGACTAAAGCAGGTCTAAAGCAGGACTAAAGCAGGACTAAAGCAGGACTAAAGCAGGACTAAAGCAGGTCTAAAGCAGGACTAAAGCAGGACTAAAGCAGGACTAAATGTATTGATGTTTTCATAGTTCAATGTTTTGAAACTTTAGACGAAATGATATTATAGTATTTCAGCTCCTGTCCCTTTGTCCTCTGGGGGGGGGGGGGGGGGGGGGGACTGGGGGTTTGGGGACCACCATGTACCAAACCACAAAGACCCATTGGTCACGCTCTCACACCCTCCACATTCCCCCCGGCCCCAAAAACAACCCCTTATTGAGGCTCTGTCCTAAATATCAGGGGTCTGGACCAGGACTAAACCAGGACTGAAACAGGACTGAACCAGGACTGAACCAGGGCTAAACCAGGACTGAACCAGGACTGAACCAGGGCTAAACCAGGGCTAAACCAGGACTGAACCAGAGCTAAACCAGGACTGAACCAGGACTGAACCAGGGCTAAACCAGGACTGAACCAGGACTGAACCAGGGCTAAACCAGGACTGAACCAGGACTGAAACAGGACTGAACCAGGACTGAACCAGGGCTAAACCAGGACTGAACCAGGACTGAACCAGGGCTAAACCAGGACTGAACCAGGACTGAACCAGGGCTAAACCAGGACTGAACCAGGACTGAACCAGGGCTAAACCAGGACTGAACCAGGGCTAAACCAGGGCTAACAGTTCTCATTTATTTATTTATTTATTTATTAAAGGGACAGTGCATATTAAAATACATTATGCATGTAAATATGCCAGAATTAGCCAAATGGCTATTTTTCAACTGTAGTCCCTGGACAGTTGTTAAGTGTCCTCCTGAAGGGAATAAAATAATGTACATTTTACTCATGTACATTGCTAAAGTCTCCATCTACAAAACGTGATCAAAAATGAAGTAATAAATATCTAAATCAAGTGTTTTAATCTTAATCTGAAACATTCTGATTTAAAACTAGATTCTTCAACGGAACAAAACCAAAACCATTCTTTATTTCCTCATTCCAAAGGACACATTTCTTTTTCTTTTTAAAACAAGATCATTCTGCTTTGTCCTGTTGGAGAATATTATGTTAAGGCTCAGTCAGAATGTGCTCAAACTAAGATTCACTTACTGTGTGTATGTGTCTGTGTGTGTGTGTGTGTGTGTGTGTGTGTTTGTGTGTGTCTCTCTGTATGTGTGCGTGTGTGCACTTGTTTTCAACTCCTGGTGGGTTCCATAACCTGAGATTCCGCTCACGTCATGGGGACTGGTTTTACGTGGTGGGGCCCGAACACCGGACCCCACTGGTCCAAGCTTAATAATCAATGGGTAATGCTTTTCTAACGGTCCTTATGCAGTCTCTGTAAAAATATGGAAAGGACCCCTGGAGGTTTACTTTCCTGAAAAAAGTGTGTTATGTGTCGGAACCCTGGTGGTGGGTTGCGGGATATCAGGGAGGGGCACACTGGGGCAATTTCAGTCCAGCAGGCTGGAGCCAATCATGGAGCAGCACAACAGAGGAAATCAGGTGTCAGGCTAGAAAAGGTGCAAGTGTGTGGTTCATTAGGCTGCAGCCAATCACAGAGCAGCACACTGAAGCGCACGCTTACAAACCACTGGTAAGTGCTGACTCCAAGTCATGACTTCAAATTGTTATATAGAATGATTACAAATTATTTGTTGTTTGTGCAGCTTAGTCAAGAGTCCCTAATTGATGAAGTCGACTCAGATTCTGACGATTTAACTGTCAAGAAGAAACCTGTAAAAAAGTATGGAAAAAGAAAAATCAAAAACACTTTTCTTCAAGACTCGGAAAGTGACGAACCAAAGGCAAATAAGATTGTTATCATGCAGCTGCAAAAGAAGAAAAATGGGGGGCGAGTTTACAGCAAGAGACACTTCTGCCTCTACTGTTCAATGTCCTGCCACAAAATGTCCCGTCATTTGACTAGAAAACATGGAAATGAAAGTGACGTAGCCAGAGCATTGGCTCTACCTGTGAAATCTAAAGCACGTAAACTTCAGTTTGATTTGATCAGGAATAGTGGAAACCGTGAGCACAATTTTGAGGTTTTAAAGGCCGGCATTGGAACTTTAGTCCCAGCTAAACAGCCAAATTGCCCAGTTAAATCCAGTGAGTTTTTGCACTGTATAGACTGTGGGGCATTGCTTAAGCGAAAGTGGCTGTGGAGGCATGTGGCCAGGTGCCGGCTTTCACAGAAAGATGCCCAGGCTAAACCAGGCTAAACCAGGTAGAAGTAGGGTCCAGTCCCTCTGCTCCCTAGCCCAGCCTGTACCGGAGGGCATCAGCAAAAAGCTGTGGTCTTTAATTTGGGCAATGCATCAGGATGAGGTCACGGGTGTTGTCAAAGCAGAAAAGGGGATTCTGAGACTCGGAGAGCACCTGTACTTAAAACACGGGCATGATAAGACTAAGCATGATTACATTAGGCAGAAAATGAGAGAAGTCGGTAGGTTAATTAACGAAGCAAAAACTGCAGGGAAACTGAAAACAATTAAGGATTTCTTTATTCCTTCCAACTTTAACCATGTGATTGATGCAGTCAGGTCTGTGGCTGGATATGATGAGGAAACAAATCAATACAAGACTCCATCCTTGGCCCTCAAACTCGGCCATAGCCTCAGAAAGCTAGCAGATATTCTTGAATGTGACTCAAAAATGGAGCATTGTGTTGATGAACTATTTATTAAAAACCTCCAACGAAGCCGGCTGCTTTTTGAGAAGAGGTGGGACGTCTGTGTTTCTTCTGCTGCCCTACAGACCCTCCGGCAAGCCAAGTGGAACACTCCGGACCTGCTCCCTCTGACTGAGGACGTTAGAGCCATGCATGCACATATTGAGGTATGTCGACCTGAATATGTGCAAACCCTAATAAGTGAGCCAACGTCTAAGCATTGGTCTAAACTGGCAGTTTTGACTCTTTGTGAGGTCATTATTTTCAATCGAAGAAGGGAAGGTGAGGTTTCAAAGATGCCACTGACAGCGTTTACCTTAAGAAGTAAGACTGGGATCCATTCTGACATTGCTCTGGGACTGTCCCAACTTGAGAAAAAGCTGTGTCAGCATTTTCAACGCATTGAAATTAAAGGGAAAAGAAGTCGGAAAGTGCCGGTTCTTTTGACTCCTGAAATGATTGCTTCGATGGAGGTGCTGGTGGAGAACAGAAGGGCCTGTTCCATCTCTGACCATAACCCATACTTCTTCTCCCGCCCGGGCGCAGACACCCACATCAGGGGATCAGACTCCCTACGCCAGGTAGCCAAAGAATGTGGTGCGGTGCATCCAGAGATGCTATCCTCAACCAAACTTAGAAAGCACATAGCTACTATGTCTACAGTTCTCAATATGAAAGAGAATGAGATGGACATACTTGCCAACTTCCTCGGCCATGACATTCGCATCCACAGGCAATATTACAGACTACCAGAGGGGGCGCTGGAGCTGGCCAAAATCAGCAAAGTGTTGATGGCCATGGAGCAGGGAAGAGTGACGGAATTCGAAGGAAAGAGCCTCGACCAGATACAAATTGAGCCTGAAGGTAATTCTTGATATTATTAAAATATGTATGATTTTTTTCCCCTAAAGGCCACTTGTATTTTTATTTTCTGTGCGACAGGGAGAGCAGTAGAGATCCTCTCACAAACGGACGGGCTAAAAGAAACTTCAAGCGGAGAACCTTCAACCATTCATCCAGATGCACCCCATGGTAGTGGCAGTGCCCCTTCTGGTAAGTGTACCAGGTGGGGGATTACAGCCAGGCTGCTTGGTCCTAACCCTGGGAGTGTATATTGCTAATATATTTTTATTTCTCTCCCTAGAACGTTAGAGAAAGCCATGGTCTGCATCTGAGGTGAAGGCTGTGGAGAAGACCATGACACCTTTCATACAGACTGGAAAAGTCCCTGGGAAGTCTCACTGCCTGGCCTGGCCTGGCCTGGCCTGCATTAATGCCTCACCAGATGACCTTAGACATCGGACATGGAGTGGCATTAAATTCTATGTCAAAAATAGAATCACTGCAATTCGAAAAAAAAATCTAAAATAAAATTCCTTTAAAATAGTTGTTTGGTTTCTATTGACTGTTTTGTATTACTTAAAGGAGTCCCAGTAAAAAAAGATTATGTCTATGGGTCCCATTCTGAACGGCCCTGTCAAAGGGACCCACCAGGTAACAAAAACGTGTATGTGTGCCTATGTGTGTGTGTGTATATGTGTGTGTTTGTGTGTGTGTATGTGTCTGTGTGTGTGTCTGTGTGTGTGTGTGTGTGTGTGTATATGTGTGTGTGTCTGTGTGTGTCTCTGTGTGTGTGTGTGTGTGTGTGTGTGTGTGTGTATATACTGTATGTGTGTATATATATATGTGTATACATTTCAGGCTTCAAACATAAAGATATAAAAAATTAATTTTTTTGTCATGAATCAAGTGAACAAGTGGGACACAATCGTGAAGTGGAACAAAATTTATTGGATAATTTAAACTTTTTTAACAAATAAAAAACTGAAAAGTGGGGCGTACAATATTATTGGGCCCCTTTACTTTCAGTGCAGCAAACTCAGTCCAGAAGTTCAGTGAGGATCTTTGAATGATCCAATGTTGTCCTAAATGACTGATGATGATAAATAGAATGCACCTGTGTGTAATCAAGTCTCCGTATAAATGCACCTGCTCTTTGATAGTCTCAGGGTTCTGTTTAAAGCGCAGAGAGAACCATGAAGACAAAGGAACACACCAGGCAGGTCCGAGATACTGTTGTGGAGAAGTTTAAAGCCGGATTTGGATACAAAAAGATTTCCCAAGCTTTAAACATCTCAAGGAGCACTGTGCAAGCAATTATATTGAAATGGAAGGAGTATCAGACCACTGCAAATCTACCAAGACCCGGCCGTCCCTCCAAACTTTCATCTCAAACAAGGAGAAGACTGATCAGAGATGCAGCCAAGAGGCCCATGATCACTCTGGATGAACTGCAGATAACTACAGCTGAGGTGGGAGAGTCTGTCCATAAGACAACAATCAGTCGTGCACTGCACAAATCTGGCCTTTATGGAAGAGTGGCAAGAAGAAAGCCATTTCTCAAAGATATCCATAAAAAGTCTCGTTTAAAGTTTGCCACAAGCCGCCTGGGAGACACACCAAACATGTGGAAGAAGGTGCTCTGGTCAGATGAAACCAAAATCTAACTTTTTGGCCACAATGCAAAACGATATGTTTGTCGTAAAAGCAACACAGCTCATCACCCTGAACACACCATCCCCACTGTCAAACATGGTGGTGGCAGCATCATGCTTTGGGCCTGCTTTTCTTCAGCAGGGACAGGGAAGATGGCTAGAATTGATGGGAAGATGGATGGAGCCAAATACAGGACCATTCTGGAAGAAAACCTGTTGGAGTCTGCAAAAGACCTGAGACTGGGACGGAGATTTATCTTCCAACAGGACAATGATCCAAAACATAAAGCCAAATCTACAATGGAATGGTTCACAAATAGACGTATCCAGGTGTTAGAATGGCCAAGTCAAAGTCCAGACCTGAATCCAATCGAGAATCTGTGGAAAGAGCTGAAGACTGCTGTTCACAAACGCTCTCCATCCAACCTCACTGAGCTCAAGCTGTTTTGCAAGGAAGAATGGGCAAGAATTCCAGTCTCTCAATGTGCAAAACTGATAGAGACATACCCCAAGCGACTTGCAGCTGTAATTCCAGCAAAAGGTGGCGCTACAAAGTATTAGCGCAAGGGGCCGAATAATATTGCACGCCCCACTTTTCAGTTTTTTATTTGTTAAAAAAGTTTAAATTATCCAATAAATTTAGTTCCTCTTCACGATTGTGTCCCACTTGTTGTTGATTCTTGACATTTTTTTTTTTTTTTTTTTTTATATATCTTTATGTTTGAAGCCTGAAATGTGGCGAAATGCTGAAAGGTTCAAGGGGGCCGGATACTTTCGCAAGGCACTGTATGTATGTGTGTGTTCTCAGGTCACATGTCGAAAAGAATCCCTTGAAAAATAAGAAAAACATATTTGAAAATAAGTCAAATACTGTTTAAAAATAATAAAAATTATCTGAAATAAAAGAAAAAAATAGGACTTTAGATTTCTGAAAATAATAAAATAAAACTAGCCCCAAACGACTTGATTCTAGTTTTAATACATTCAAGAATTATTTACTTATTTATTAAACATTTTTGATGTTTTCTTCAAATACAGCATCTCAAACATATTTTATCTGAACAACAAAAGTCTGGAAAGAAGAAAAATAGTTAAGACTTTCTTCTCTAAGATTATGAAGAATTATCTTAAAACTAGTAAAATAATCTTATGACAAACTACATTCAAGCAAAGTTAAAATGCTGAAAGTGTTTAATCTAAAATAAAAAATATAGAATAGATTTAGTTAAACGATTAATCAGACTGTGTTAAAAAGGTTAAAACCGTTTAAAGTTATTGAGTTTAAAGAATGATTCTAAAATATGAAGTTACTGCAAATGTCACAAAAACTGTAAAATATGTTTAAAATCAGGTAGAGCAGCTTTAATCATTATTGTTTATTAAATGGACTTAAGCGGAGGCGTCTCTGTGTCTTCAGTGTCAGGAGAACGTTTGCGTCTGTGGCTGTTTTTAATCATAATTCATGTTATTTTTGGTAACATGAATTATGCACGGGCAGCACGGTGGCTGAGTGGTTAGCACTCTTGCCTCTCAGCAAGAAGGTCCTGGGTTCGAATCCCGGTCGGACCAGGGCCTTTCTGAGTGGAGTTTGCATGTTCTCCCCGTGTCTGCGTAGGTTTCCTCCGGGTACTCCGGTTTCCCCTACCACTAAAAATATGTCCAATAGTTCTAGCATGCGCCTCCTGTACTGGCCCCGCTCCCATCTCTGTGTGGAGTGAGAGACAAATGCCCAAAAATTAACAATTGTAAACCGCTTTGAGACTCAGATCTGCAGTGAAAAGGCGGTATATAAATAAAAACTTACTTACTTACTTACTTACTTAATTATGACCAAGATTTGAGTTTTTCAGTGAAAGTCAAGAGAAAACACACGAATGACTTTTTCTGAACAGTTTAAAGTAGAATATCTAAAAACAAAATGGCCTCAAAGTCGTCTGTGGTTTGAACCAGAGGCGGGTTGCCAGTTTGGGAGAAATTCTGCCTTTTGAGTTCACAAACACAAACACACACGATGGAGGCAGACAGTTTCTATCTCAACTCCAGCAGGTGGGCTGCATCAGTAATCAGTGCTGAGGAGAGAACAGTGAGATTGTAACGACTCTGAAAGACCGCAACGAGCAGATTACACACTGCCCCTTTAGAAAGTGCATGAGTAAGTACTGTGCCACCTGCAGCCTGTACCCGTCAAGACAAGTAGTTAAGCAGGGCAGGGCCTGGTTTGTGCTGTGATGGGAGACCTCTCTGAAGCCCGCGCGCCGCAGTTTGTGATGCGCGGCCCTAAAGTAACAGATGTTCGGTGAAAGTGGCGATGGGGCGTTTAGCAGCCGCCTGTTTAGAGCGGGTTGTTTTTCCTGCAGGGGGGGTGGGGGGTGAGGGGGCGTGGCCTCTGTCAGCGCCTCAAAGGGGGCGTGGCTCTGGGGGCGGTCCGGGTCACGGCGTTCTTTCACACTGCGAGACAAACGCAGCAGAATGATAGACTTCACTGTCGCTTCACTGGCTCCTTTACTGAGGGAGGGGGGAGGAGGGGGGAGGAGGGGGGAGGAGGGGGAGGAGGGGCTGGGGGCCACACTGGGACAGCCTGTTTTCAGACCACTAATCAGATTGTGTTAAGTTAAAGCTGGGGTACGCAACTTTCAGACCACAACAATAGGACTCTGAAATAAAACCCAGGTCTAGTTCCAGAGCCTCAGCCCAAAGAGTCAAATAGTGACTCACAGGGATCTTCCTTTTATGGCTCTCAGGTACGTACCAGAGTATCCGAAGGGACCAGGGGAGTCGAGGGGCTAAAGGATGTCATTTAAAACCAAGCAGGAGCAACTCAGACTCCGCCCCCTTCCTCAGGTGTGTCTAGAGACCATAGACTGTATATATTAACGGACGTAGTCACGTCTATCTCCGTCGTTCTAACTAATGGGCCAAAAATGTGTTCTACTGGAGCTATCCAAAATGGCCGCGAGTGGTCCCGCCCACAAGAAAATTGTGAAAAAACGCATCTGCGCATGCGTCAGCCGGAGCAACTCCATTCATTTGAACGAGAGACGTCAAAAATTCACAGCAAGTAAACTAGAGTGGACCAAAACACCCCCCTCAGCATTGACACACATGTGGAACGGAGCTTTGGGCCAAGAGCCAACTTTTGGTCCATCTTGTAAAGACGTTTTTGAGAGGTCTGCCAATGCTATATGTTAGCATTGGCTAATTCTTATTCCGGGTCAACCCCCATCGGCCCGGGGTGGTATTGCAGCATGTCAGCGCACGTCATTTTGGCCACTTTTGAGCCTCGACCCGCGCACACTGGTCTAGATTCAAGATTCTCTTAGAGAGAGACTCTCTGGTCTCTTGTAATCGTATTGTTATCGTTTTTGTGTTTCTCTTTTCACCGATAGAAATTTGAATATTCAGACCTGCATTTGTGTTCAGTCAGGCACAAGCAGGGATCACACACACACACACACACACACAAAAACACACAGGAGGCCAGTATCATTATAATTGCTTGCTTGCAATCACGTGATGCATAAACTTCCGGTTGACGGAGTGGTGGTCAGGCCAGAAAGAGTTGCTGCTGATATATGAAGAAAATGCGTTTTTTTTTTACTTTTTTGGATATTTCATGACGTTTTGAAGCTTTTGTGGTGAACGTTCTAACTCATCATTCTAACAATATTCACAAGGCAGAATTTTTCCACTACATGTTTTGGTAATATCAAGGTTGAAGCTACTGGCACCGCGGCAAATGCTAATATGCTAATATCCTCCGCTGTATGTCACTTTCATTCTGTAACGTCTTTGTTTATGCCTCTACCATCAACAATAAAACATGTCTTCTGTCTGAATTAAAGACAAGATCCTAGACTGTCATTTTCTTCACTTTAGATTCTAATCCACAGCTAGTGTTACAGTCAAGCTTTTGCACTGCTAAACAACTGAAGGTTTGGATAAACACAGATACTGTAACTTTTCCGTCTGTGGGTTTAAGAACTCAGAGTTAAGGTCCTGAAGGACACCTCCTGCATCGTACAGAGCCGTGGAAGTAAGGATTGGTATGAACTTATTCTCAACTAAACACTGCGTCTGCGACACCTGACAATGAATAAAAGCGTTTGTTAGTGAAATGTTAGCGAGCCACTTTTCCTGCGTCTTTTCCTAAAGTCCTTGGTGCGAGGCTCTTTATTAATCTCTTCACAAGGAATCCTAAAGTATCCATTAAAGGTTTCACGATTCGATCGGTTAGAAAACTTAGAACAACACATGCAAAAGGCAGATTCAGACACGCTGCTCTAGTGAACAACGAGCTCGGCTGACCACCGTGATACGCATAAGTAATGAGGCGGACGTGACGTCAATTGCAAGCAACAAGACTGTGATTCAGACCAGGCCCGGGTCTAACGGTGCGTTCTCACCGGATCATGCTGCGGCCACTTTCAATGCAAGGTCAATGGTGACGCGCGTTCAAGCGTGGAACTGCATGTGTGTCTGGGGATGCACAGACTGCGCAGTAAAGTCGCGGCAGAGACGCAGGAGCGGAAAATTGTTGCACGCAGTAGATACATTTTGCTGAACGTTTCCTCGGGACGTTCGTGCAGCGGCCAATCAGAGAGCTGCAAAGTGGTCTCGGGGACATTGGTGGTCTGAACGAGCAAACTGAAAATACTGTAAACAGCCAAAACAGGAGCTACACCAGGACTAAACCAGGACTAAACCAGGACTAAACCTGGACTAAACCAGGACTAAACCAGGACTAAACCAGGACTAAACCAGGACTAAACCTGGACTAAACCAGGACTAAACCAGGACTAAACCTGGACTAAACCAGGACTAAACCAGAGTTGACAATGGGGGACATAGTGCTTGTGAACATGTGTGTTCTCATGCTCCAGTGACTTTATGCAACTGCTTCGAGTGTGTTCTGCTGTTATATAAAGTCACCTCCGTGAACACATACTGCTGTTATATAAAGTCACCTCCGTGAACACATACTGCTGTTATATAAAGTCACCGTGAACACATACTGCTGTTATATAAAGTCACCGTGAACACATACTGCTGTTATATAAAGTCACCATGAACACATACTGCTGTTATATAAAGTCCATGAAGGTCTCAGACACAGTGAGGTTGCAGCTGCATTATTGGAGAAGATCTTTACACAAAAAGCTTAACTCCGTTAGCATCAAAGTCCGCCCGCCACTTCCGGCGAGCACCACCGCAGCAGGACTTCTGGTGGGAAGTCCCCCGCGTCTCAAAATTAGAGACTGTGCGTCTGGTGAGCGAGGCTCCAGTGTTCCAGCGTTGGCGGTGGCACCTTAAAGCTCCTAATTTCTTTCAACTACATCCACTCCTGGGTCTACAGCCTCAGTCCTGGGTCTACAGCCTCAGTCCTGGGTCTACAGCCTCAGTCCTGGGTCTACAGAGTCCTTAAAGACACCCCCCTGCGGTGAAGCTGCAGACTCAGAAGGAAGTGTTTGTAAAAGTAAATGTTTTTAAATGACTTTGTGAATGAGAATAAGTGACTAATGCTCTGGGCTGCAGCTGGGACCTGTCAGAGAGCGCTGACTACAGGGAGGAAAGGGAGGAGGAGAGGGAGGAGGAGAGGGAGGAGGAGAGGGAGGAGGAGAGGGAGGAGGAGAGGGAGGAGGAGAGGGAGAAGGAGAGGGAGGAGGAGAGGGAGGAGGAGAGGGAGGAGGAGAGGGAGGAGGAGAGGGAGGAGGAGAGGGAGGAGGACAGAAGAGGGAGGAGAGAGGAGAGGGAGGAGTAGGATGTAGGGTCTCTCTCTGGTCTCTCTCTGGTCTCTCTCTGCTCTCTCTCTGGTCTCTCTCTGGTCTCTCTCTGGTCCCTCTGCTCTCTCTCTGCTCTCTCTCTGGTCTCTCTCTGGTCTCTCTCTGGTCTCTCTCTGGTCTCTCACCTGGTCTCTCTCTGGTCTCTCTCTGGTCTCTCTCTGGTCTCTCTCTGGTATCTCTGCTCTCTCTCTGCTCTCTCTCTGGTCTCTCTCTGGTCTCTCTCTGGTCTCTCACCTGGTCTCTCTCTGGTCTCTCTCTGGTCTCTCTCTGGTCTCTCTCTGGTCTCTCACCTGGTCTCTCTCTGGTCTCTCTCTGGTTCCTCTCTGGTCTCTCTCTGGTCTCTCTCTGGTCTCTCTGCTCTCTCTCTGGTCTCTCTCTGGTCTCCCTCTGTTCTCCCCCTGGTCTCCCCCTGGTCTCCCTCTGGTCCCTCTGGTCTCCCCCTGGTCTCTTTTGTTCCTTTAAATCTAAAATCTTATATGTATGTTTCCTAAACCTTTTCTTGTTCTAATTAAACCTGCGTCTGGTCCAAAGCCGCTCCAGTAAACGCTGCGCTAATGAGATGCTAACAGTGGTTTTAAACTCATAAATAATGAAATGCTAATAGTGGTTGTAAAGTCCTAAACAAACGCTGACGGACATGTGGCCTGGTTAAGCCCGGCTCAGGTCCTGCTGGTCCAACTGGGCCCAGTGGGAGTGGCCCTCAAAGGCATTTAGCCCTGGATTTATGCACAAGCTGTTGGCCTTCTGCTCCTTTCACTGCTCAATACACACGCTTTACATGTGGCATTCAACACGTGAGGGGGGAGGGGGGGGGGGGGGGGGGGGGGACAAATATAATAACAATAAAGAGATTAAACACGACATATTGAGCTTTGCTGTAACTGTGAGAGTGACGAAGACGATTGAGGACGAAGAGAGGAGACACGTGACCTCAGGGAGAGCGAGGAAGGACCGCAACGAGACCTCAGCCAGAGAGAGGAAGGACCACAACGAGCCCAGCCCTTGTCAAAATAACGGACTGTGAAGGGAGAACCTCAGCACTGCTTCATGAGTAAGTATTAATACACTTCTCTGAGGTCGTATCTGCAGGTTAAGCCAGATCCTGTCAGACCTCTGAAGCTAAATAGGGTAGGGCCTGGGTAGTACTGTGATGGGAGGCCTCTGGGAACACCATGCGCCACAGTGCGGCGGCTGCGGCTCTAAAGTGCCAAACTGTGGTTGTGTCCTTATAGGCAAGACACTTCCCCCACATTAGAATGAGTCTGGTGTGTGTGTGAATGGTTGGTGGTGGTGGAAGGGGCCGATGGCACAGACTCGCCTCTGTCAGTATGCCCCAGGGCAGCTGTGGCTACAGTAGTCGTTTGGAGTTAAAGAATGGTGTGAAGCGTCTTTGGCTTGTCCTGAAAAGCCCTTTGATGATTTATTATTATTATTATGATGAATCACTTGTCGTCCCACCTGCTGCGAGACCTTTGTCCCTGTGACGTTGAGAATGAGAAATATCCTCTAACCTTGTCCCTGATGACAGTTTCACGGCTCTCTCCACAGTTCTGGCTTCCGGACACCTTCGGTTACTCAGCGCAGCTTCCTCAGATCATGAAGGGCAGCGGCGTTTCCAACTTTCTGACGCAGAAGCTGAGTTGGAACTTGGTCAACACTTTCCCCGTGAGAACCAGAGACATGACTCTATTATTATTATTATTATTGTTACATTATAATGATAATATTATTTGTTTTCATTTCTGTTTTCAAGCACAACACGTTTTTCTGGGAAGGACTCGACGGTTCTCAGGTCCTCACTCATTTCCCTCCTGGAAATTCCTACGAAATGAAAGGGAAAGTGGAAGATGTGAGTAGATTAAGAAAAGCAACAGTGCTGCTGCTTCTCTCTAATAATATTTAGTCTTTTCCACCAGAAGTATTAAAGTAAGCAATTTATACGATTGTTTTACCTTTTATTCACTGGTAATAAGTGCTAAAACTGGTGAATATAACTTAAATTACTGCAAAAAACAGTTTGTTGAAAGACCAATGCTAAAGGCTAAATGCTAACGGTAAACAGTGTGTTGCTATGGTAACCAACACTCTCTCTTCTCTGGTGGAAAAACAAGCTGGATCAGAACAAGTCCAGGACCAGACCCAGTCCAGACCCAGTCCAGACCCAGTCCAGTTCCAGACCCAGTTCCAGACCAAGTCCAGACCAAGTCCAGACCAAGTCCAGACCAAGTCCAGACCAAGTCCAGACCAAGTCCAGACCAAGTCCAGACCAAGTCCAGACCAAGTCCAGACCAAGTCCAGACCCAGTCCAGACCCAGTCCAGATTCTTTTTCTGTAGTTTAGTTTCTTTCCTTTGTTCAAACTCTTTTTCTTTTCTTTTGCAGCTCGTGAAAACAGTGAGAAACAACAAAGACAAAGGACGAGCCAATCACAGCGCAGCGTTGTTTGGCTTCGGCGATGGAGGCGGCGGTCCCACTCAGCTCATGTTGGACCGACTGCAGCGGGTCCAGGACACAGACGGACTTCCCAGGTCCGAGAACCGGACTAACTCTGACCTTCTGTACTTTATGGATTCAATAATAACTTTGTCATTGGGTCGTGTGGTAGTAAATCTGTCGAATCCTTCTGAAACAAAATTTGACATTATGACATCATTATGACATCATTATGACATCATTACGACTCATCAGCTTTGACATTTATTCTTCTGGAGTCGGGTGTGTGTTCTGTCGGTGCTGGGAGGACGTGGAGCAGGATGTGTGTGTGTGTTCACCACTTGTCGCTGTACCTGCAGGTGAAAGCCAGATCCTGTCAGACCTCTGAAGCTAAGCAGGATAGGTCCTGGTTAGTGCTGTGATGGGAGACCTGTGGGAACAGCAGGTGCCACAGTGGGGCGCTTGTAAAGTGACAAACTGTGGTTGTGTCCTTAGGCAAGACACTTCCCCCACATTAGAATGAGTCTGGTGTGTGTGTGAGTGGTTGGTGGTGGTGGGAGAGGCTGATGGCACAGACTGGTTGCCTCGCTTCTGTCAGTGTGCCCCAGGGCAGCTGAAAGTCTAAACCCGATGCATTATTATTATGATTATTCTGAATATTCTGAATATTCCTGTGATTGTCAGGGTGAGGATGTCGTCTCCTGACGCTCTCTTCTCTGCTCTGAGGTCAGACAGTGATCTGCTCTGCACCTGGAGCGGGGAGCTGTTCCTGGAGCTGCACAACGGAACCTACACCACACAGGCACAGGTACCAGCAACACACAGGTACCAGCAACACACAGGTACCAGCAACACACAGGTACCAGCAACACACAGGTACCAGCAGCACACAGGTACCAGCAGCACACAGGCCCAGGTACCAGCAACACACAGGTACCAGCAGCACACAGGCCCAGGTACCAGCAACACACCGGTACCAGCAGCATATCTGGGCCTAACAGTGAATATCCATGTTCTTTTCATTTACTACATCTTTGTTCATATATTTTTTTCTAAAACGTGAGAATCTGAAGACCTTGTTCCCCACATCTTGTTGAAGTGATAATCTAAACACAGAGACTGCTCAACACTTCCCCTTTAACTCGTGTGAACGCGGTGTTTCCAGATAAAACGTGGGAACCGAGAGTGTGAGACTCTGCTCCATGACGTGGAGGTGTCCAGCTGCCTGTCCCTGTGCAGACACCGGAGCTTCACATACCCCGCCGAGAGGCTGCAGCCGCTCTGGAGGTCCCCCATCCACACAAACTCATCATCATCATCATCATCATCATCAATCCAATCCAGTTTATTTATGAAGCACTAATAAAAACAAGGTTGACCAAAGTGCTGTACATAAAAACACATACACAAATATACAAAAACAAAATACAAAACAGTGACAAAAAGAGAAAACATTATTTACAGCAAAAAAAATCAATTAAAAGCCAGTGAGAAAAAAATTGTCTTAAGACGAGACTTAAAAACAGGAAGTGACTCAGACAGACACAGGGGCAGCTCATTCCATCATTTAGGACCAACAACCGAAACAGCTCCATCTCCTGAGTTTCCGTTTGGTCTGAGGAACCCAGAGCAGAGCCTGATCTGTCGACCTGAGAGAACGTGATCTTCTTCAACTGATGCATACAAACTTTAACTTAGTCTGAAACTTTAGACAGAAAAAAATAAAAAATATTACTCAGCCACGGCACGGTGGCTGAGTGGATAGCACTCTCGCCTCTCAGCAAGAAGGTCCTGGGTTCGAATCCCGGTCGGACCAGGGCCTTTCTGAGTGGAGTTTGCATGTTCTCCCCGTGTCTGCGTAGGTTTCCTCCGGGTGCTCCGGTTTCCCCTACCACTAAAAATATGTCCAATAGTTCTGGCATGCGCCTCCTGTACTGGCCCCGCTCCCATCTCTGTGTGGAGTGAGAGACAAATGCCCAAAATTAACAATTGTAAACCGCTTTGAGACTCAGATCTGCAGTGAAAAGGCGGTATATAAATAAAAACTTACTTACTTACTACTTACTTACTTACTTACTCTTTATCTGATGATTTAAATATTCTCTCTTTCAGGCTTTTGCTTCTGAACCAGTTCCATGACGTGATCCCCGGGAGCTGCATCGAGCTCGTGGTGGAGGACGCTCTCAGATATTATCAAGGTGCAGTATTTTTCTAACATTTTAAATTCTAACTTTGAAACGACAGAATTCACTCTAAAGTCAGATGTTCTTACTTAGATCTTTTTTCTTTATTTTGAGCTAGAACTAACCTTTCCCCGCTGTGGGACCAATGATTCATCTTAATACTAATAATTATAATGGCAAAAATGATGTGCCAGACCTCTGAAGCTAAGCAGGGCAGGGGCTGGTTAGTGCTGTGATGGGAGACCTCTGGGTGCCACAGTGGGGCGGCTGCGGCTGTAAAGTGCCAAACTCTCGCTTTGTCCTTAGGCAAGACACTTCCCCCACATTAGAATGAGTCTGGTGTGTGTGTGAATGGTTGTTGGTGGTGGGAGGGGCCGATGGCACAGACTGGTTGCCTCGCTTCTGTCAGTGTGCCCCAGGGCAGCTGTGGCTACTGTTGTCATGTATCACCACCGTGTTTGGAGAGAAAGAATAGTGTGAGGCTGAGTAAAAGCTCTTTTTCACTTTTCTGACTAAAAAATCTGATCTGAAAATATAGCCAAACATTCAGGGATGTGGAAACTAGGGATAGAACCAACCGAGTGAGTTTGATTTTATCACATCTCTACAATTCTATTTCACGTGGCTTGAAGTTTACGTACCCGAGCTTTAAATACATTTCTGTACTAGAACATCAGCAGTGTAATATCCTCCATCTTCGACATGTATCATAGTTTCACAAATATACAGTAATTGCTCTTCTGTCTCTGAACATTGTAAAGCCTTTGGGTGACTTTGGTCTGTAAAATGCGTTATATAAATAAACTTTACTCACTCACTCACTGTCTGTTTCGCTCCATGACATGTTTTAGTTTCTCCTCCTTCCTGCAGAGATCCGAGACTCTGGTTCTCAGCTGCTGGAGAAGGCCTTGTCGTCTCTGGACGGCGGCAGCTCTCCGGCCGTGTTCAACTCTCTGTCGTGGGGCCGCGAGGAAGTGGTCCACGTCCCCCACGAGACCGGAGCCTCGGAGTTAGGTTGGATTTGACAAACTCCAAACGCAATGTTACGGAGATTACAACACACATTTGTGGTTGTTCTGAATGGTCCTTTGTCTCTGGTCCAGCTCTGGTGCAGGTCCCCAGTGTCGGCTTCTCTCCGGTCAAACCAACAAAACCTCAGAATCCAGTTTCCGCCACGGTCCAGGTGAGACTCTGGTGGGACTCGGACTCTGGGTCAGGTCTGGCTCACTCTGTTCCGATTAGGTTTAAGAGATCCTTTGTCCATCTCAGAGCGGGGAAATATCAGTGTTTCTTTCTCTCACGCTAACAAACATCCACATAGACCTTTGTGAGCCTCCTAAGCCTTTAACCGTTCTGCCTTCTGCGACTTCAGGCCGACGGGACGATCCTGATGCAGAACGGCATTTTGAGATGTGTCGTAAACAAAGATGGCACCTTGGCGTCGCTGCGTCTCGTGGCATCAGGGAGGTACTTTTATTATTCATCTAAAATGGTCTGGTCTCTTTCTCTGGGCTCTCTTTCTCTCTCTGGGCTCTCTCGTGTCTCTCTCTGGGCTCTCTCTGGTCTCTCTCTCTACTCTCTCTCTCTGGTCTCTCTCTACTCTCTCTCTCTGGTCTCTCTCACTGGTCTCTCTCTCTCTGGTCTCTCTCTGGTCTCTCTCTGCTCTCTTTCTGCTCACTCTCTGCTCTCTCTCTCTGCTCTCTCTCTCTGCTCTCTCTCTCTGCTCTCTTTCTGCTCTCTCTCTCTGCTCTCTCTCTGATCTCTTTCTGCTCGCTCTCTCTGCTCTCTCTGCTCTCTCTGCTCTCTCTCCTCTCTCTGCTCTCTCTGCTCTCTCTCTCTACTCTCTCTGCTCTCTCTGCTCTCTCTCTCTGGTCTCTCTCTCTGGTCTCTCTCTCTGCTTCTTTGCGATAGTCGAGGGTCCACCGTATTGAATCCATATTGACGTGAGCTCTTCTGTCCAGAGAGTCTCTCCTGGACGGCTGTAAAGGAAACCAGTTTGTCCTGTTTGACGATGTGCCTCTGTACTGGGACGCCTGGGACGTCATGGACTACCACCTGCAGACCAGGTCCCAACCTCACACATACACACACACACACACACACGCTCACACACACTAAAAGACCGTCACACACACACCGTCACACACACACCGTCACTCTCACACACACACACACACACCGTCACTCACACACACACACACACACCGTCACACACACACGTCACGTGGCAAAATGAAACAAACCCAAAACACATGACTGCAAATGTATTCAAAGTATATACTAAATAAAAAGGTTTACCTGTTTTTAACCTGGATTTGAACATTGTCAGTGTCTAACATTTTCAGGAAGACTGTCCTAAAGGCCTGTGGTTGCAGGAGGCCGGTGGTGGAGCTGCTGCAGGCGGCTCACGTCCTGAGCTCAGATCCGCTGAGAGCCACTGTCCGGGTCACTCTGAGGATCAGCGACCGCAGCAGCATCACACAAGACCTGGTCCTGGACGCACACTGCCCCTACCTCAGGTTCAACACACAGGTACAGAGCACAGGTACAGCACACAGGTACAGAGCACACAGGTACAGCGCACAGGTACAGCCCACTGCCCCTACCTCAGGTTCAACACACAGGTACAGCACACAGGTACAGAGCACACAGGTACAGCGCACAGGTACAGCGCACAGGTACAGCACACTGCCCCTACCTCAGGTTCAACACACAGGTACAGAGCACAGGTACAGCACACAGGTACAGAGCACACAGGTACAGCGCACAGGTACAGCCCACTGCCCCTACCTCAGGTTCAACACACAGGTACAGCACACAGGTACAGAGCACACAGGTACAGCGCACAGGTACAGCGCACAGGTACAGCGCACAGGTACAGCACACTGCCCCTACCTCAGGTTCAACACACAGGTACAGAGCACAGGTACAGCACACAGGTACAGCACACTGCCCCTACCTCAGGTTCAACACACAGGTACAGAGCACACAGGTACAGCACACAGGTACAGCTCACAGGTACAGCACACTGCCCCTACCTCAGGTTCAACACACAGGTACAGCACACAGGTACATGCAGTCAGGCTCAGATTCAGTTCATTTGCCATCTGCAGTAAATGTGCAGGGGTACCCCCAGTGTGCACCAGACAAATACTAGGACTGAGGCTGTAGACCCAGGACTGAGGCTGTAGACCCAGGACTGAGGCTGTAGACCCAGGACTGAGGCTGTAGACCCAGGACTGAGGCTGTAGACCCAGGGGTTGCAGCCTACAAGTTCAGATCAGAGAAGACCAGTCCAGGGGCAGTTTTTGATTTAGAAATGTCTAAAGATTCCAAGATTTGGTCTCTCTCTGCAGGTGGTGTGGGAGGAGGCGCATAAGTTCCTGAAGGTGGAGTTCCCGGTCCGTGTCCACAGTCCCAACGCCACCTACGAGATCCAGTTTGGACACCTGCAGAGGCCCACGCACCGCAACACCTCCTGGGACTGGGCCCGGTTTGAGGTACTGGGTCTGAGGCCAGAGAGAGCGAGGCCAGAGAGAGCGAGGCCAGAGAGAGCGAGGCCAGAGAGAGCGAGGCCAGAGAGAGCGAGGCCAGAGAGAGCGAGGCCAGAGAGAGCGAGGCCAGAGAGAGGCCAGAGAGAGGCCAGAGAGAGGCCACAGAGAGGCCACAGAGAGGCCACAGAGAGGCCACAGAGAGGCCACAGAGAGGCCACAGAGAGGCCACAGAGAGGCCACAGAGAGGCCACAGAGAGGCCACAGAGAGAGACCACAGAGAGAGGCCACAGAGAGAGACAGAGAGAGGCCACAGAGAGGCCACAGAGAGGCCACAGAGAGAGGCCACAGAGAGGCCACAGAGAGGCCACAGAGAGGCCACAGAGAGGCCACAGAGAGGCCACAGAGAGGCCACAGAGAGAGACCACAGAGAGAGGCCACAGAGAGAGACAGAGAGAGGCCACAGAGAGGCCACAGAGAGGCCACAGAGAGGCCACAGAGAGGCCACAGAGAGAGGCCACAGAGAGGCCAGATTTTTTTTCCTTGTTGCTATAATGACTGTTGCTGAATCATTGGTCACAGACAGTGGTGAGGGGGGAGCATCCTACTGTAGGAGCAGAGAAGTCTCAAAATGAATCATTCCAAAAACACAACGTTCCATTTGAACAGGAAATGATGTCATGAGGTGAAAGGAAAAAAAGAAACCTTCAGGGAATAAATACAGGTACAAGTGGGGAGAAGCACAGGGAATAAATCTATCGACAGGAGGCAGGAAGCAAACTCAAACTACAAGTGGATGAATGTATAACAAAAAATAATGAAAAAGTCCACAATATGACAAATTGCGGAAGTCCTGGTGTTAACAATGACTCACATGGTTCTCACATGGTTCTCACACGGTTCTCACATGGTTCTCACATGTTCCTGCTGTGGTTCCAGGTCTGGGGTCACAAATGGGCCGATCTGTCCGAGCACAACTTCGGAGTGGCTCTTCTGAACGACTGTAAATACGGATACTGTGTGAACAAAAACACCATGACCCTGTCGCTGTGAGCTGCGCCGCTTCGTTTACATCTGCTTCAAACATTTACCTTAAAAATAACCCATGCACAGATCTGAACGTAAATGTTTGTGTCCTCAGACTGAGAGCTCCCAAGGCTCCGGACGCCAACGCAGACATGGGCTCCCACCGGTTCAGCTACGCCGTCATGCCACACGCAGGTCTGTCTGGAAAATGGCGGTTTCTCGATATTATATGTGTAGACGATGAGACGAGGGTTTTAATAATATACCCAACCCAGAAATGGATTAAGGGGAAGAAAATTGATAGATGGACATATTATTATTTTCAGATTGATACTGTTGTTTTTTTTATTGTTTACTTTGCAAGCGACCGTGACAATGCCATGTCCTTTGTGGATCATTTAAGTCTGTCCAAGTCTAGGTCTAAGTCAAGGCCAGGACGTTTAAACCCAAAATAAACAAGTACAAGCTAAATTCATAAAAGAAGAGGCATGTTCAATTAATCTGACACAATCTGACACACTTAAATTTGAGCTTTTTTAAACTTATTTTTCATCACTTTTTGCAGTCCAAATATTACACGTCTTCCATAAGAGATTGTGTCACTGAAAATGAATCACAAAATTCCCCCAAAATTCCAATTGTCTGAATGTGTTTGTATCTTTGCCGTTATTATCCACTCCCTTTCCATGTAATTCCAGTTTACATCCGGTCTGTCTAACCCAGGGGTGTCCAAACTTATGAGTAAGAGAGCCACTTCAGTCCAATAGAAACAGGACATCTACAGTCTCTACCCCTTATGGACCTAGGACTCCTATCTGGGATTATTACTATACTGTATACACAAGAGTTTGCATGTTCTCCCCGTGTCTGCGTAGGTTTCCTCCGGGTGCTCCGGTTTCCCCTACCACTAACAACACAATAGGTCTGTGCCTCCTGTACTGGCCCCGCTCCCATCTCTGTGTGGAGTGACAGACTAATTTTAAACCGCTTTGTGTCTCTGGTCTGTGAAAGGCGCTATATAAATAAACATTACTTACTCACAAATACAACATACTGTATATAGATAAAACAGTCCCTTTCTTTTGGTCCAACTTCAAACAGTAAGATTTGTTTGAGGAGAATAGTTAAAACACTGACAAAGGGGCCTCCAGGATTTGAATTAATTTGGACCAATCAGGAAGCAGCGAGGGTGGGCCTGGGCGGGTCTAACCAGTGAATGTCTTTGATATGTTTTCCTCTCTCCGCATCAGTCAGACTATTTGCCATTTGCAGTAAAACCACATTGGAATACATGTGCGAAAGTCCCCAGTGTGCACCAGACAAGCACATAAACAAGAACAAGCTGATTGGATAATATCATAATAATTGTAAAGAAACTGACAATCACCATAACAGAGGCTTGAACCGAGCCTGGTCCTACCACACCATAGTACACTTTACATTTGGTACTAAGGTCTGGATGTGCTCCATTGACTCAGTTAACAAGTGGGAGGGGTCAACTCCTTTTGCTGATTTTACCGTGACGTATGTAATGTGCCCGAGTGAGTCGTTAGCATTTAGCCTAGCTTTAGCCATCTCCTTTGCCGCTAACGGAGCCTGTGGGGAGTAGCGCCACAATCTTTGCAGCGATTACATTTGTTAAACATTACTATTGCCCCAGATTACATTACTAACACATTCTTCGCCAAACTACGACCTGCCCGTTCGGCGACAGCTCTTGACGTCACTCACATCTAACTGTAACACCCGCCTCCCGCGCTCTCTGATTGGTCGGATGGAATTCAACCGATTGTAATCACAAACACAGGGACCAGACGTTACATGCAGCGAAAAGATGATTGACCGAAGTGTACGGATGAAAACGACCAGGGTAGCTTGAACCTGACCCAGTGTGTGATCCCAGGGAGTTTCCAGGAGGCGTCGGTGATCCAGGCGGCCCACAACCTGAACCACCCCCTGAGGCTGATGCGCTGTGTCCCTGAGGCCGGGCCCTGGAGCGCCTTCTCCCTCAGCAGTCCTGCCGTCATCCTGCAGACGGTCAAACGGGTACGAGGCTCTTCCTAAAGCTCAGGGACTGGATTTTCACACCAATGATGGAACCACCGTACTTTCTGGACTATAAGGCGCACCTGTATATAAGCTGCACCTGTATATAAGCTGCACCACCTACGTTTAAGATCATAACTATCTATCTATCTGGCCTCCGACATATCTGTAGATCAGATTTAAAAAATGAGTGTACGTTTTATACATGTAAGGCAGGATAATAAGTAGATAAAGTGAGTCAGTCCAGTGGACATTTTGAGATTTTAAAAGAAAGTAAATTTTGCCCAGAGAGAGAGACAAGAGTGGGACCACAGAGAGAGAGACCACAGAGAGAGGCCAGAGAGAGAGGCCAGAGAGAGAGGCCAGAGAGAGAGGCCAGAGAGAGAGGCCAGAGAGAGAGAGAGGCCAGAGAGAGAGGCCAGAGAGAGAGGCCAGAGAGAGAGGCCAGAGAGAGAGGCCAGAGAGAGAGGCCAGAGAGAGAGGCCAGAGAGAGAGAGGCCAGAGAGAGAGAGGCCAGAGAGAGAGAGGCCAGAGAGAGAGCCAGAGAGAGAGGCCAGAGAGAGAGGCCAGAGAGAGAGGCCAGAGAGAGAGACCAGAGAGAGAGAGGCAGAGAGAGAGGCCAGAGAGAGAGGCCAGAGAGAGGCCAGAGAGAGAGACCACAGAGAGAGAGAGGCCACAGAGGCCAGAGAGAGAGGCCACAGAGAGAGAGGCCACAGAGAGAGGCCAGAGAGAGAGAGAGAGAGGCCAGAGAGAGAGGCCAGAGAGAGAGGCCAGAGAGAGAGGCCAGAGAGAGAGGCCAGAGAGAGGCCAGAGAGAGAGGCCAGAGAGAGAGGACCACAGAGAGAGACCACAGAGAGAGACCACAGAGAGAGAGACCACAGAGAGAGACCACAGAGAGAGACCAGAGAGAGAGAGGCCAGAGAGAGAGAGGCCAGAGAGAGAGAGGCCAGAGAGAGAGAGGCCAGAGAGAGAGAGAGACCAGAGAGACCAGTGAGAGAGAGGCCAAAATACAAAACAAACCGAAGCAGAAGTGTCACCTTGTGAAGGTGACACTTCTGCTGTGACAGATACTTTCTTGATCCCTGTAGGAGAAACCCAGGCGTCCAGCAGCAGAAACACATCTGTACAAACAAATACATGATTTTAAAAGTTACTAACAATAGTAATACATTTTATATGATTCTGATTGTTGTGTCCAGGCTGAGGAGCAGAGCCGGACCCTGGTGCTGCGTCTGTATGAATCCCATGGGAGCTCAGTGACTGTGTCTTTATCCACTCCTCTCCCCGTGAAAGAATCCTGGCAGTGAGTCACATGACCCGCTTTAGTGCTACACATCAGACTTGTGTTTTAATAAAGATAATATTGTGTTTCCTTTGCAGCTGTGACCTCCTGGAGCGGAAAGACCCCAGTCGCCCTGCGCAGCTCTCTCATCTGGACTTCACACCCTTTCAAATCGTTTCACTTCTTCTCCTGATGTGATTCCAGACTTAGCTTCCAGACGCTAAGACATTACAGACTACTCTAGTTGTGTAGGTTATAAAAAATGATAAAATATGAAGTACTGATCTCGTGAATCGAGTGGTTTTTATCTGTGGACCCAGGACTGAGGCTGTAGACCCAGGACTGAGGCTGTAGACCCAGGACTGAGGCTGTAGACCCAGGACTGAGGCTGTAGATCCAGGACTGAGGCTGTAGACCCAGGACTGAGGCTGTAGATCCAGGACTGAGGCTGTGTAGACCCAGGACTGAGGCTGTAGATCCAGGACTGAGGCTGTAGATCCAGGACTGAGGCTGTAGACCCAGGACTGAGGCTGTAGACCCAGGACTGAGGCTGTAGACCCAGGACTGAGGCTGTGTAGACCCAGGACTGAGGCTGTAGACCCAGGACTGAGGCTGTAGACCCAGGACTGAGGCTGTGTAGACCCAGGACTGAGGCTGTAGACCCAGGACTGAGGCTGTAGACCCAGGACTGAGGCTGTAGACCCAGGACTGAGGCTGTAGATCCAGGACTGAGGCTGTAGACCCAGGACTGACTGAGGCTGTAGACCCAGGACCGTTCTATACATCTTTGATATTTGTAATGAATATGGATTAAGTCATCAAATCAACAACTCCACAATGTTATTTTAGCATTTTTTTATTATAAATGTAATTAAAATGTGTTTAAAATCCGCTGGTAATCTCATTTGCTGCTCTGTCTGGTTATTCTTCTGTTCTCACTCTTTAAGTCTGAAATAAGAATTGTTCAAAGTGAAGTAAAAACGTTAAAGTTTGTGAAAGTGATAATAAACCCAGCACCTGCTTTTGGACCCGCTGTGCTCCTCTTCTTCTTCTGCTCTTCTGCTGTTTTCCGGACCTTTCTCACTCCCTTCTTAGCCTCTACTTCCTGTTCTTCCTTAAATATCTCTTTGGCCACAGTTTTCTTTGTGCTGGTCTTGTTTTCTGCGGCGTTGGAGCAACTTCCGGCCGGCTGAAGGAGAAGTCCAAGTTTCAACACAACGTTAAAAGTCGCACAAATCACAATTCTACAACTTCACCTTTTTCTTCTCCGTGTAGTCGTGGTCCTCCTTTTTTATTCGTTTCTTAGCCTTGGGTGATTTCGCTCCTGACAATGAAACGACACATGCTTTAAAAACCCTCGTGCTGCCTTCGGGTCAAACTGACTCGCCGCAGATGGTTCAAAGTAGAAGAAAAATACCCTTTATTAGGGTCTAAAAAGGTCTAAAAAGGACAAATTCAAAACATAAGATCTGGTCTCAACACCCACCACCACCACCCCCCACCCCAAACCCACCCCCCCCCCCCCCCCCAACAACCACAACACCACAAACACCCCCAACAACAACAACACCCCAACCAAACTAACACCTAACCAACCCACACCATACAACCACCATCATCATCAAACACACCCCCTACAATAATTCAACCTCCCCCCTACAAATAACTCCCCCTTCCCAACAACACCCCCAACAACAAAAACCTCACAAATCCTCATCATACACACCCAACCTCATAAACACCATCCACAACACCACCAATCCACAACAAACCCAAAACAACTCCACCCAAACAACACCACCACACAACCAAACACCACCAACAACACAACCAACCCCAACCACAAAACCAACCCAACCCCACTAAAACAAACCCCTACCACAACAAAAACCAACAACAACCTCCACCCAAACAACAACCCAACCACACCACCAACACAACAAAACACCCCCCCCACCCCCAACAACCAACAACCAACCACCACACCCCCCCCCCCCACCCCCCCACCCACACCACCCACCCCACCCAACCCACCCCAACCACAAAAACCCCCCCAAACCCAATACCCCCCACCACCCCCCCAACCCCCCCACCCCCCCCACCAACCCCCAACCACAACCCCACCCCACAACCCCCACAAAAACAAACCACACCCACCAAACACAACACCACACCCCAAACACAAAAACAACCACCACCAACCCCCACCCACCCCCCCCCACCCCACCCCCCCCACCAACCCCACTACCCAAACCCAAACCCCAACACCCACAAAACCAACCACCCCCCCAAAACAACCCCCCACACCCACCAACCCCCCCACCCAAACACCCCCCCCACAAACCCACCCCCCCCACCAAACCCACCCCCCACAACACAAAAAAACCCCAAACCCAAAACCACCAACACACCCCACACAAAAAACCCCACCCACCAAAAACAAAAACCCACACCCCCACCCCCAAACAAACACCAACCCCCCCCCCCCCCCCCCACCCCCCCCCCCACCCATCAAACACCACCCCCACCCCCACCCCCACACCCCCCACCCCAAACACACCCCCCACCCCCCCCCAACCCCCCCACCAACACACACACAACCCCCAACACCCACCCCCCCACCCCCCCCCCCCCCACCCCCCACCAACCCCCCCCCACACCCCCCTCCCACACACACACACACCCCCCCAACAAACCACCCCCCCCCCCCCCACCCCCCCCCCCCCCCCCCCCCCCAAACAAACAAAAAACAACACAAACCACCCCCCACACCCCCCCACCCCACCCCCCCCACCACCCCACCCACAAAAACCACCCAACCACCCCCACACCCAACCCCCACCCCCCACCCCCCCCCCCCCCCCCCACCACCCCCCCCACAAACCCCCACACACAACCCACCCCAAACAACCCCCACCCCCCCCCCCCCCCCCCCCCCCCCACCCACAAAAACACCCCCCCACCAACCCCCCACACACCCCCCCACCCACACCCACACAACCCCCACCACCCACCACCCCCCCACCACCACCTCCCCCACCACACAACCCCCCCACCCCCCACCACCCCACCACCCAAACACCACCCCCCCAACCAACACCCACACCCCTCAACCCCTACCAACACACCCACCAAAACACCACCCCCCACAACCCCAACCCCCCCCACCCCCCACCCCCCCCCCCAAACCACACCACCCCCAACCCCAACAAACAACCCAACCCCCCCCACAAACCCCCCCCCCCCCCCCCCAACCACCACCCACACCACACAACACCCCAAACCACCCACACCCCAAACAACAAATCAACAAACCCAAACACCACACACACCCCCCCCCCACCCCACCCAACAACCCCCACCCAACCCAACCCCCACCCACACCCCCCCCACCCCAACACACCCAACAACCACAACCCCCCCCCCCACCCCCCCCAACCCCCCACACCCAACCCCCCCACCCCCCCCCAAACCACAACACACCACCACCACCAACACCCCCCCACACCACCCCCACACCCCACACACCCCAAACCCAACACCCCACCACCCCCCCACACCACCCACCAAAAAAAAACACAACCACCCACAAAACCACCCCCCCCCCCCCCCCCCAACACAAACCCACACCACCCCCCACCAAACCCCCCCCCACCCCCCCCCCACACACCACCACCACACACACCCCCCCCCCCACCCCCACCCCCCCCCCAAACACACACCCCCCACCCCAACCCACACCCCACCCACCCCCCCACAACCCCCCCCCCCCCCAAACCACCACCCACACACACCAAACCACCCCCCCCACCACCCACACCCCCCACACAACAAAAACCACCCCAACCCCCACACACCACCCCCAAACCCAACAACAACCACCACCCACCCCCCACACCCCCCCCCCACCAACCCCCACCCACCCACCAACACCCCCCCCACAACCACCAACACCAACCACCACCCCCCCCCCCCCCACCCCAACCCCACACCCACCACCCAACACCCCACCCCCACCCCCACCCCCCCCCCCAAACCACACCCCACACCCCACACTATCACCCAAAACCCAAACCCACCACCATCCCTAAACCCCCATCCAACACAACCCTACACAACTAACAAAAACCCAACCCAACCCAACCACAACCCACCCCCACCCCCCCCCCACCCACCAAACACACCCACACCACACCCCAACAAACCCCCCCCAACCCCCAACCCCCCCCCCCCCACCCAACCAAAACACACCCAACCCCCCAACCCCCAACCCCCCCACCCCCACACCCCCCCCACAACAACACCCCCCCAACACCCACCCCCAAACACCCCCCCCACCCCCCCCAACCCCCCAACCCCCCACCCCCACCACAACACACCACACCACCCACCCAAAACCCCCCCACACCCCCACCCCCCCCACCCCCACCCCCCACCCCCCCCCCCCCCCACCCCACACCCCACCACCACCCCCACCCCCCCCCCCCCCCCCCACCCCACCACAACCCAACAACCCACCCAACCCCCCCAAAAACCCACCCCCCCACCAAACCACCCCCCCCCCCCCCCCCCCACCCCAAACAAACACCCCAAACCAAACACACCACACACACCCCAACACCCAAACCCCACCCCCAACAAAAACAAACCCCCCCCCCCCCCCCCACCCAACACAAAACCACACCCCACACACACACCCAAAAACCCAACCCACACAAACCCAAACCCCCACCCCCCACACCCACCCACCACACCCCCACCACAACCACCCCCCACCCACAACCCCCCCCCCAACCCCCCCACCCCCCCCACCACCACCCCCCCCCCCCCCACCAACCCCAACCCCACCCCCCAACCCCCCCACCCCCAAACACCCCCCCCCCCCCCCCCCCACACCACCAACCACCCCCCCCAAACACCACCCAAACCCCCCCCCAAACCCCCCCCACCAAACCCCCCCCCCCCAAAACAACCCCCCACCCCCACACCCCACCACACCCACCAAACCCCCCCCCCACACACCCCCACCCAACCCCCCCACAACCACCCCACCCACCCCCACAACCAAACAACCCAAAACCCCCCCCCAACCCACACAACCACCCCACCCCCACCCACCAACCCCCCCCCCCAAAAAAAAACCCCAAAAAACAACCCAACCACCAACCACACCCCCCCACACACACCCCAACCCCCCC